CTGTTCGAACACAACCGAAGTCGTTATTGCAGGCTCAGTGGCACCCTCAGTCACAAGATGCGGCTTACATGGCACTGAGCATTTCATATAAGCAGCACCTCCACGAGGAATTTTACCAAAGAGTGTCCAAGCAAGCCTTGAAGAGTGGTGTTCATACTGGCTCATTGGTGGTCCAGAGACAACAACAGAAGGCTGGTGGTCTGGTTGGAGTTGGAGGGTTGTTTTATTCATAATTTCATGGTGCTTGGCTTGGATATTCAACCAATGCTGGTTATGTGCATGAATGTGGCAGGTTGGATTCATATTTTGTTGTGGTGAAATCTCTTGGGCGAGGTGTTGGCCTTGACTTCAAGGAGCCCTACAAGGAGTTTCACAAGACTGTAGTTCTTTCTCATGGACGAGGCAATTGCCCTGAGTTTAAAGAACCCTATAAAGATGGTGTTCTAGTGGGTTGTAGTGTTTGAAAGCTGTTTGCTGGGAATTTTCAACATGGCTGGGTGGTTGATGGTTGTATGGGAGTTGTGATATAGGATAGTGGTGCTTCTGCAATTTATTTTGTGAGTTGTGATATGGAGAACTTTCCTTCAGGAGCTGGTGGTGGCTGTCAAATAAGGACAATCTGCAGTTTGAGGATTACATAGCTGGTGGCATCATGTTTCAGTAGCTTACTTGTATTGGAGCAGAGGCCTTGCAACCATTACGATTTCCAGCTTCTTCCCTTGTGTTACTGGTTTCTCATTTCAATTTTAGGTTGCTGGGTTTTCAATTGTATCTCCGCCTTGAGAACAAGGCTAATCTCAAGAGGTTGGGAGTTGTAATGAACCAATATGGAATGAGGGAGTTAGTTGTTAGTATCAGGAATATAGGGACTAATTGGGATAAATTGTAGAAGGGTATAAATTGTGTTCTTGATGTACTACTGCGATTATTGAATAACAGAATACAAATTTTCCCTATCCTCCTTCTCTTCTACTGTGCTCTGTCTCGTTCCCTCTTCCTTCTTCTCTTTCTCTATCACTCTTTCGGTAGATCTTCCTCCTAATCTCTATTGCTTTCATCACTTCATCTCTCCACTAATTTCAATAGCTGAGAACTGATCCAGAACAAGGCCATGACATTACATATTGTTATCAGAGCCAACTCTTGGAAAATGTCAACTATCAACGCGAGATTGGATGGTTGGGAGGCTTTCGAGGCTCGAATGGACGAGTTCAGCAACCAATGCAAAACCATCCTGGCGCGGTTGGCAACACTCTGCCCCCAGAGTGATGCTCAGGAGTAGCACCTCCTTGTTTCGACAACGGGAGTTGATGGCCACTCTACGCGACTTCAACCTGCTCGACGAAATGCCAAAGAGGTGATCCCTTCCTCTGCTGCACCTACAATTCACACTCACACTTTCAGTAATCTCTTCCCTATTCAGCCTTTGGAGTTTCCCAAATTCAATGGCGAGAACCCTAGATGATGGGTTAAGGACTGTGAGAGATTGTTTGATGAGTATGATACTCAAGAACATGAGAAGGTTAGGGTTGCTACCGTTAATTTCGGGCGAAGGGCAGATTTATGGTTTGGGGGATGGACTTTTTGTTACTCGGTTTGGGTTTGGAGTGAGTTTGCAGTAGGATTGTGCGCATGCTTTGGATGGTGCACAACTGGGGAAACAGTAGGTTCGTCAACGTCAGCTGCGATTAATCAAAAGGATGGTAACGTGGCTGAGCTCAAAGTTGGCCCGGAGGTAGAACAAGACAATGTCAACTTGACTCAAGCGTTGGTAGGTGTTAATATGGAGAATGTAGGCAGTGTGGCAGCGGTAGAGACTATGGAATCATATTCAGAAGTGAGTACGGTGAATGAAGATGGACATGTATCGTCTGCCCCTATTCCAATCTCAGAAGTTAGTTGTTAGTATCAGGAATATAGGGACTAATTGGGATATTTTGTAGAAGGGTATAAATTGTGTTCTTGATGTACTGCTGCGACTATCGAATAACAGAATACAGATTTTCCCTATCCTCCTTCTCTTCTACTGTGCTCTGTCTCGTTCCCTCTTCCTCTTCCTTCTTCTCTTTCTCTATCACTCTTTCGGTAAATCTTCCTCCTAATCTCTATTGCTTTCATCACTTCATCTCTCCACTACTTTCAATAGCTGAGAACTGATCCAGAACAAGGCCGGGACATTACAAATTGGTATCAGAGCCAACTCTTGGCAAATGTCAACTATCAACGCGAGATTGGATGGGCCTCTTGATGTTATCATGGTCCGAGACCGTGATCTCAACATTGCCCATGAGACATACAGGATTTCCTGGAACCTTGGGATCTTCATAGTTTGAGTGTTATGTTCACGGTCTGCGCCCGTGACAATTGCTCCCTTCTTTCGATCTTTCATTCGAATTTCGATCCCGTTGCCAAAATTACCTACTTATGTATAGAACCTGACACAACACGAACACACCTAGCATAAAATAGCTCCTAGAACTGCGGAAGCCAAGCTAAATGACACAAGTAATGGGGTGTAAAAGTTGTAATATGTCTGAATCAAAAGCCCGCACACTTGCACGTTTGCTTGTCCCCAAGCAAACCTGATCAAACCAGTACAAACGTTAGGACAAAAAACAATGATATACGCTATCAATCATCGGTGGTACCTCGAAAATAATCAAAGTTGGGTAAACTTTACTTCCATCTCTTCGTGCCATGCACTAGGGGACTTATAGAAAAATTGAAAATCCAATGACTCCATGGAGGTTCTCCCACTTTTTCAAAAGAGGAGTCAATTTTTCGAGCCTCAACTTAAAATTGCCATGCACGACACCACTTTTCAGTTTTTTAAATCAAGGCATCTCTCCCTCCTGACCAAGAGCAAAAGTAACATTGCCTTCCCTCCTAACCAATTTTTTCATTGCTCGATCACCACTTCCCAACATGCACTTCCACGTCTGAACGGCATACAGGCTGCTAAACATGTCGGGTGCAAGCGAGAGTAGAGGTCTCTTGACTCGTGAAAAGAGACTTTGTCTCTTTCCATACGAGCCCGTGAGGAGGAGAGGTATCTGGGGATGGAAGGTATTGAAAGACGATCAGGACGCGGTAAAACTATTTGAACTCCAAACGCATCCTCTATGGCACTCCAGACAGAGAGAAGTGACCTTTAACGGCTCAACTCATACACTATTACCGGTTTCCACTTATGTGAGAACCTCAATTTTTCAAAAAAATTTCAAATTTGGATCACCTTTTGAAAAACTTTTTGGAGTCTTAATTGGGAAGTCCCACACATATGTCCTAACCTCGATAGTAAACGTTATCGTCCCAACCGAGAGGAAATCGAAGTATAGCCACTATATCAAGAATTCTCATGGCACCTCACTATTCCATATAGTTCACACCGTCATAATCATCAAACAATTCAAAGCACACTAAGCAAGATCATTTTACGGACAATTGTGATTGGGACAATGGCTCAATGGAAATTGGAGATCAAAGGCTTGTTTTAAAGATAAAGTTGCCATATTTTCAATGGTATACTTTTTGGATCCATAAGATGTCATTAAGGGTTTTTTCCAAGCCATCAAAGTTGCTACCTCAAAACTGGAAGCTGCCAGAAAATGGCTAAGGCAGAAAACTGTTTTGTGAAGCCAACTTTGGAGCTTAATTCGAGGAGTATGGATCTGATTCAAGTCCAAAGTCGTCCACAACATCAAACTAGGTATGTTTATGTAAAAAGGGAAGGAATTGGATGAAGGTTTAGAGTTCTGGAAGGCCTCGAACGAATGACACGAAGTTAGTACGAAAACTGTATTTGGATAGTTTGCTTGTGCTAAAGGCAGCTTGCTTGTGCTTCAAGAAAGGAGTTTAAATCCGAATTTTGAGTCCTTATTAGAATAGAAGTTTACCTTAATTGTTTCATTGTTCATTTAGGTTTGTATTAGGTTTTCTTGGCTATAAATAGCCTTTTATTTTACGTTGTAAAGAGGACAGACTTTGTTGATTAATCGAAAAAGAAACCGTTTTGGTTTGTAAAAGTTTGCAAACTTGTTCTTGGGTTTTGGTTGCGATTGAAACTTGCTGATCTGCTTATTGACCAAGAATTCACACTCGATTATATCGAAAGCTTCACCATAACGATTGTGCATTCTTCAAGGTGTAAGAATTCCCTTTCGTTTCCGTTTTATTCAATTTTTGTATTAATAACGCGTTGTTCTTAATTCGAGTTCAATCAATCTCCGGATTGATCATGTTGCCACATGACTTAGATAAAAATACACTCACCAGGGTCATATCAAGTGGTATCAGAGCATGGTTCAAATCAGGGGCAAGAAGGAGACTGAGAATCCTGTTTTTCGTTCTTTTTTTCTTTACGGACAGCAAACAGAGAGGAGCAGAGGAAGATTCTTATTCAAAGAAGAAGACCCAATTTTACATAGATGAATTGAAGCAGATGCTCACAGACGAGTTTAACGCGACCTTCCAGCCAAAATTCGATCGAGTTTCTCATCGAATAGATGAGCTTGCGTTGCCGGGAAACCACACAGCTTCGACGCCAAGTTTAACAGTACATAATCCGATTCCAGAAGGGGATCGAGACCAAGGCGTTGTAGTTAGACCTACCCACAAGTTGGACGAGAGAGTTAGGAGTTTGGAACGATGAACATTGGCGTCATTGAAAGGCATTCCCGTCCGAACGTCCACTGGCGCTCATCACCTCTATTTTCCTACGTCAAAACAGAGTCCACAGTTTGGAGAAGTCGATGCTGAGCTATGGGAAGAGTCAAGCCACACCAGCAGCGCAGACATGGTCCAGATAGAGGGAGAGTTGGGTGGTGACCCGGGGAGCGAGTCGAGCCAAGCCAATGCGGCCGATACATCCCTTACCACATCAGGAAGCTCTTCCCTTGAACAATTTGCAACTATTTCTTCTGTTTTGTAGGTGTCTCATCGAGCAAACATCCCTCTGCAAATGTAAGGAAATATGTGTATTCTTCCACGTGTAAGAATTCCCTTTTGTTTCCGTTTTATTCAATTTTCGTATTAAGAACGCGTTGTTCCTTATACGAGTTCAATAAATCTTCGGATTGATCGTGTTGCTGCGTGACTTTGATAAACATACACCCACCAGGGTTGTATCAGGGTTGATACTCGGGATGTCGAACCTCAATCCCCTGAGCACGTGCAAGCTCCTCCACTAGGTAGTGGGAATGTCGCCTAGCTTCTCGCTCTCGAGCAAGCTAGGAGGATACCCCAACAAACTGGCCTTCAAGGGCAATGACTCGTGCCCCCAAACCAACTGAAGAAGAAGATGGGCCGACTCCAACTGATGATGAAGAGGCCCTATGATGGACACAGCAGCGTGATGGTGGTGGTTCTCTCTGGGCTGGCTCAGGCTTTGGTGCCTGCTCCACCACATGTCAGAGGCCATCGATGTACTCGATTCTTCGCTCAAATCAAAGCAACAGCATATCATGGAGTGTCCCCACCGGGAAGAAATCTGCCCTTCCCACCTCCCTGTAGTGAGTGAGATCCACCCGTAAGTAACAGCGAGTCGGGTGATGATTGGGCCAAGGTGCATCCTGTACTTCATAGGACAACCCAAAATCTGTGATAAGGAAGTCACCACCACAGAACCCAAGTGAAGTGGCTCTCGAGGTCGTCCCATAGTGTGTAAGGCCACCATCCCGTGGTGAGTGACCTATTGACAGGCTACGACACAACACCAAACTACGACCAAGTATAATCGCAAAATGGAGATGCAGTATAGTGGGACAAGTAATAAATGTCAACCTAGGGCCTAGATGTGCGGCCTACTCCGTGATTATCTATTATCTAGCGGGAAAGATTGAGTGTAGGTGAATTAAAACTAAAGCAGAAAGAAAGTAGTAAGTTGTTCGGTTTTCTAAAGCAAGAGAAGAGTCACTCGAGAATGAGTCCCCCTAGCTCCTTAATTAGGTTCAATTTGAAATTGGCATTGGTTGATTCTCTCAAGCTGATCAAGCCCTTTTAGACAGACTATCTGGCGGATGAATAACTTTCACCAGGATAGAATGATAAGGCAATTCACACAGAACTCCACTACTGGAAACAGATTCCAGTACAAAACAACGAATTGACTGACTCTCGTACAATCAATTCACTCCTATCGATTGAAGAAGCTCTAACAACCTAAATAGATTATATCTATCACAGGTTGAAGCATAAATCAAGAGAAATTGATCAAGATTCAATTGATTCAATAAACACACTTCAATCGATTAAAACCAATGCGTATATCATCCCAAAAGTCATTACAAGCAGGATTCCTAACACATGGAACTAGGGTTCTTCATACCCAATTGAGAGAAAAGTCTACTCCATAGAGAGAGAGGAAACATAAATCAAGGCAATCATAATCATAAAGATGGGAATAATATGCTATGGGATGTCAATCGTCACTCCTGGAAATGTAATATGGGCTTCAATGGTGAGAAATCCACTCCAAATAGCTCCTAGTGTTTGTTTTTTGTCACTTTCTCTCTCTAGTTTTTTTTTTTGCTCCAAAAGTCCAATCCCCTACCTTTCGCTTGAATTTTCCTATTTACCCTGATATTGGGAAAAATACGGGCAAGAGCACGGTTGTGCTTCTCCTCCGATCGTGCTTTGACCAAAACATGCGTTTTGCTTAAGTTGGGTAGGAGAAATCCACCGTCGTTTCTAGGTAAAACACCGACATTATTTTGAAAAGCACCGACGATATTTTGAGAAGCACCGACAGAATTTTGAGAAGCACTGCGGTATTTTAGTCTTCGCCTGCCTGTGCTTTGCTTTCCTTCAGCATTCTTCAGGAGCTAGCCTTGTTAATAAAAACACGAGCAAGTCGTTGGTGAAACACGATCGTGCTTTAGGGAAGGCTGCCCGTATTTCTTCCTCAGCTCCACGTTTGAGAGGCATTTGAATGACCAAATGACCTCCGAATGATCTGAAACTTGCGCCATTGCCTCCCTTTACTCGTTAGGACTTGAAATGTGACAAAATAGCACAACCTAGCAAAAAATAGGCCAATGAGCCATAAATTCGAGCCAAAATATTTTAAGAAACTAGGGTGAAAACATGTGTAAATACGAAGCTATCACCTGTCCCCCAGATAGGAGACTCAGGATCATTGAATAAGTCACGAGCATGTGGAAGATCTGCCACTGGGGCCCGAACTGCGTCGCTCTGGTGTGTCCCGCATGTAAAAGAGGCTCCCTCTCCTCTAGTAGAAATTTTTTCTCAATCCCCTGGTTGACACTGAAGTCTCAGGTGTATACTTTCTCGGAGATCGTCATGATCCTGGTATGAAGTTCCAAAGCTATGGCCAATGTATTCTAGCTGATGGTATGGTGGACTCCTCCGAGCATGAACGCGACATACTGTTGGGCATGCAAACCTTGAGGCTGCTCGTGCCTAGAAGTGGATTAAAATTCTAGGCACATTTCTTGATATATATGATTATCGAGGCTGGGGAGAATACACCACAGAGGATGGCCAATAACTGCTAATATGACAGCTCGACAATGGAACATGTAAAACATGTCCAAGGCAAGGCGCCAATGGGGCCTTATATCTCCATTCTTCCATATCTTGTTGTTCAACACATACACAGGGTGATCCATCAAGTAGCTAATGTATGGCTGCATCAGGTGGACTATCCTCCACAGAACCAAAGACAAGCACCATATGTGGAAACAATCTCATTAGACAAGCATAATGGTGAGAGAAGAACATCTCCCCACACTTAGATTCCAACATATGCATGATAGACCATTAATAACACATATTTTTACCCCTATTCTTGAGCCGTTTGAGATGTTGATTCTCGCGTTTTAGGCCGATTTCACGTTAGGTTGTTCTTGTTTGTGATATTTCAGGTCCTAGTACGTGAATGAAGGTTTAGGAACGAGTTCGGGGTCGATTTGATGAAGTTTGGACGTTTGGCGAGGAGCTGAGAAGTCACACGGGCATGCCTAAAAGCCACACGGCCGTGTAGGGGACCCTTGGTGGTCGTGTGGAAATTCCAGGGAACTCACACGGGCACCCTGGGAAGCCACACGGCAGTGTGGGTCGTGGCAGGGTAGGAAGCCTGAAGTCACTTAACGAAACACCGTGTTTTGGGAAGCCACACGGGCAGTTGGGGGAGTCGCACGGCCATGTGACCTGGCCATGTGAGTCGGGAATTTATGGTTTTAAACCAAATTTCGAGCCAAAGGAGAGGGAGAGCTGGGTTTTGGTTCCCAAACACCCAAGGGACGAACCCTAGAGAGAGATAGCGACTTGGGAACATTCTTGGAGCTATTTTGGAGGATTTCTTCGCCATTGGAGCTCGGGAATCAAGCTTGGAGATGGAGATTGAAGATCTAGATCAGATTTCTGCAGTCTCTCTCATCTCCATGGATTAACTCCCCTTCACTTAGGTTTTGAGGAACCCTAGTTCCATGTGTTAGGAGCTTTCTTGTATGAAGTGTTGGATGCTATATTGTTTGATTATAATTGATTGAGGCATGATTTATAGAGTCAATTTAAGCCTGATCATCTTCCCTTGATTTCTGCTTTAACCTATGATAGATAGAATCTGATTAGGCTAAGAGATTCCAGGAAAATTTAACCTATGCTAGTCGCCTACCGGGTATTCTGTCTAAGAGGGCTTGGTCAGCTTAAGAGATTCCAAGCAAATTTAGGATCTTCCGCAGTTTAATCAACAATAGATCAACCAAAAGTAATTGCAACTTGGACCTAATTGAGGAGCTAGGGGGAATCATACCTAAGTGAGTTCCCAACTTGTAATTAGTAGAGTAGTTTAGTAAATCAATCCTTAATCTGGTTTGCTAGATAATGAACTGAAGCTGGGTAATAGGAACTCTAGAGACCCGTGGATTCGATATTTATTACTTGTGCCACTATACTGCAGTCCTTTCATTGGTTACACTTGGCCATTGTGAGGAGTTGTGTCATGGCGTGTCAAGTTTTTGGCGCCATTGCCGGTGACCTTCTAGATTATTAGGAAAGGCAGAAGTTTGTTACTTTAGCGTTTTTCTTTTCTTTTCCACCCTTGCTTTTCACTTGGGTGTTTTTGTTTCTGTTGGTGCAGATTTGAATCATTGATCCTCATGGCTTCTCCAATCATTGGGGGTATCCACCACCATCCGAGGGGTATTACCCCGAGACTCCATGGAGCAATCAAGGAGAAGAAGACTATGGATTCGGGTTCCAGTACCAACCCCCTTACTACGGTGAACAATCAGACCCCTGGGCATATCAAGAACAACCTCATTATCAAGAAGAATTTCTCCCACAACCAGAAGGGCCATCGGAGCTGGAGTTACACATGGTGGCCTTCAGGAGCCACTCTGCAGGGCCCTGCTACACTTCACTGGAAGATCCGAACAAACAATTAAGGCTTCTCGTGGAGCAGTTTGCTCGAGACACTGAGAGATCATGCTCCAAGATGGATCTTCAAATCCAAGCCCTTGCCCCTTCTGATCACTCTTTTCTCCATGAAATGGAGGAGACTGTTCAGTGCTTAGCGAAGCAGACAGAGTGGGTGGAGAAAGTTTGCTCACATCCTGCTCCAGATTACCCACCCTCCCCTGCTACCATACTAGAACAGGAGGAAGAAGAAGGTTACAAGGACATTGTGGAGCACACTGAAGTTGTCACGGAGAGCTCCCATGATGATCATGATCAGGAATGTCATGTCGTAGCCGACCACACCTTCCCACATCCCACACCGAGCTTTGAAGAGGTGGGCATGAGTGAGGAGATGCAAGAAGATCTCATGAAAGAAATTGCTTGGCACCTTGCTCTCAAATCCGTGCTAGAAGAAGAAGAGCAAGGAAGGGTGCAGAAAGAAGTTGTGGAGGATGACGAAAGTAAAGCAGAAGAAGTTCTTGATCATTACCCAGGGGTGATACCACATGAAGAAGGAAGGGAGGTTGCATAAGCAATTGGTGTCCAGGTCGGGGACGAAGTTGAGGTGGAAGAGGCTTGCACCGACCATGAGTTACATGTGATATCTCCACCAATCTTCGAGGAACTGCTTAGCAAGGACCCATTTGCAGTGTCTCTTTGCCAGACCACGGCCACGTCGACATCGGTCCCTATTGGTGGACGCAATGGTGGTCAATCGATGTTGTCATATCTGGTTTGGGGCAATGAGACGAGAGAAGAGAAGAAGAGGTCTCGAGGGTGGAGACGTTATCTACATCAAGTCAACGAGCTTCCATCACCTGTCATACCACATGCTCGTGACTTGAGACTCCACCTCATCGACGAGAACCTCAACTTCAAGGAGATTATGGGGTGGACCGAAACTTAGGAGCCATCGTCCGGCTCACGACGTGAAAGAAGCGCTTGTTGGGAGGCAACCCAACCAGTCGGTTTGCATTTCTTTCTCTATTTCTCCTCGGTTGAGTCAGTTTTGTTATTTGATTTTAGATTCAATAACTCAACCTTTGTGAGATTTTTTGTGGTGTTTGTGTTCCGACTACTCTCTCCTCTTGGAATGCACCGTCTGCCTCGTCCAGCATCATTCACCCTTGATCTGGTAACTTCGTTCTACCCTCCTTATCTTTCCTCCATTGAGGACAATGTCGTGCTTAAGTGTGGGGGGATGTTTGATTATGTATGCGGGTGAATGTTTGGCTGTTTGTGTGCTTGGAGCCTAGTCCACTATCCAAATTTTTAAATTTGAGGGACCAAGTACGTGTTTCCTTGCAAATTGCCTGCTCAGTATGCTTTGAATTGACAGTCTCTATGGTGATATGCAACCTAGGGAGGTAGTTGTAGCACTATGGAGGATGTTGAAGTATAAGATTTTTCCTATCTGTCTCTCTGTTGTGCCAGTTGATTTTGCGAACTAGTGGATTTAGGACCGTTGATTCATGTGGTATTGATTACTCCTCTTATGTTGTGTTGTGGACCCGTGTATCGAAAAAAAGGTGCTCAAGTGTGAAATGAAAAAGCAGTTGGTCCTCCATGTCAAAAATTTGAAATTCTAAGACATGGGGTAAGCCCAACGTGTGTGGCACCGTTCATTGCACAAAATCGGGCTTTGGAAGAGATTTTAGTGATCCTTGGTGGGGTAGGCCTACAAGGTGAAGCTAAGTTGTCTCCAGTACAAGTAAAATTTCCACCCGTTGAACGGTTTGCCTACTTGAGGATGTGTTTTTAAGGGCACAGATAGAGCTTCCGACCCCCCCTTAATTTCATTAACCCTCAACATGAAGTGAGGAATAGGAGTTAAAAGAAGTACTCTGGCGAGTGACAGATGTACAGAAATTGCTCTTGCTCACCTAATAAGGGCAGACCGCGTATACAAACTGCAGTAGGAACCCCAGCAAAGAAAAAAAAATAGTAAGAAGATGGGGTTCCAACAAGTGAAATGAAATGAAAGAGCACCCGATACAATGAGTCTTTGGTTGTTGAATTGTGTGAGTCTCCTTATCCATGAATTGAATGTCTTAGTTTCACTGCTTCTCATGATCCTAGCTTGAGTCTAGTACTCGCATTGAGAGAGATAGGAGGCGTCTTAGAAGACCAGTTGACCTCGTAAGTTGCTAAATGATCTAGAAAATCCTCTGTCGACGATCGGGGTTACATGTTGCTATAGAGGTCTGGAGAGTTGCATTGGTTTGAGTCAGGTTTGCTTGGGGACAAGCAAACTGTTAAGTGTGGGGGAGTTTGATAGACCATTAATTACACATGTTTTTACCCCTATTCTTTGAGCTGTTTGAGATGTCGATTCTCGCGTTTTAGGCCGATTTCACGTTAGGTTGTTCTTGTTTGTGATATTTCAGGTCCTAGTACGTGAATGAATGTTTAGGAACGAGTTCGGGGTCGATTGGACGAAGTTTGGACGTTTGGCGAGGAGCTGAGAAGTCACACGGGCATGCCTAAAAGCCACACGGCCGTGTAGGGGACCCTTGGTGGCCGTGTGGAAATTCTAGGGAACTTACACGGGCACCCTGGGAAGCCACACGGCCGTGTGGGTCGTGGGCCGCGTAGGAAGCCTGAAGTCACTTAACGAAACACCGTGTTTTGGGAAGCCACACGGGCAGCTGGGGGAGTCACACGGCCGTGTGACCTGGCGTGTGAGTTGGGTATTTCTGGTTTTAAGCCAAATTTCTAGCCAAAGGAGAGGGAGAGCTGGGTTTTGGTTCCCAAACACCCAAGGGACGAACCCTAGAGAGAGAGAGCGACTGGGGAACATTCTTGGAGCTATTTTAGAGGATTTCTTCGCCATTGGAGCTCGGGAATCAAGCTTGGCGATGGAGATTGAATATCTAAATCAGATTTCTGCAATCTCTCTCTTCTCTATGGAGTAACTCCCCTTCACTTAGGTTTTGAGGAACCCTAGTTCCATGTGTTAGGATCTTTCTTGTATGAAGTTTTGGATGCTATATTGTTTGATTATAATTGATTG